AGAGAGAGAGAAAGATATAAATGTATTCCTTTAATTTTCTAAGCCATGTTATCACTTACTCTAAGTTGGTCTGGTAATGTTCATTGAGCAAATGGCCGCCCTAACGTTATTGCTACTGATAAATTTATTAACAGGTTGGTTTCAATACTTGCTTGTTTCCGTCTTGACAATAGAAGTAGCGCAAATTACTTTTCCGTGTCCGGTCTATTTTGACTGATTTCTGATGACACATTCTGTCTTATTTACTGCGTAAATTTCATCGTAACTCATTTCCCGTAATCCATCATTTTTTCGACTGAACAACGAGGAATTTGATTAAAATGATCGAGCGGCATTTTGTATTTCGTTCCCAGCTTACACTTCATTTGCTTGTTTCCAATAAACTTTATAAGTTCTCGAAATATTTGATAGGCATCCGAGAAGGTGTTTATAATCAAGAATCATCGTAGAATCAGCTCGAAAAGAGAAAATACCTGTCAAGGATAAACCTGCGCAATGGCAAACTTGAATATACAGTCGAACTATTTCGGACTGCCCAAAAGAGATTATATATTTTTTATCTTTATTTTTTGTTGTTGCTGTTGAAGTCTTATTTTCTATAATTACTCCTTATCAGGTTACAGGTCACTTTCATCGGAAAATCGAAATCAAAGCGGCATTGAGAATATTTTTCCTGTTTATACTGGGTATTTTTCGAGTGTCGATACCAATCACAGTTTTGGATTTCTAATTTATATCTGCTGTTACGCCAAAGGGAGCATCTTTTATTTACGCTTCAATCTTAATAGATGGGAGTAATTATGATTAAGACCATGATGATCATTACTGGATGATTATTTTTTTCTCAGCTCGTGAGCGGGCGGTATTCTGTAAATCCTGCGATCTGATCGGTTCCGAGAGCGGGCAGTATCCTTCCATCCGGCCCACTCACAGCGGGCGGTATCCGTTTCGCTTGAGTCACCTTGCAGAACATCTCAAGCTTCGTTGAAGTTTTTTACAAATATATCTCATTTTGCCGGCTGGGCAGAATTTTTAAGCAAAGACTTCGGTCACAACCTTTTGGCGATAAATAACATTAACTCTTTCTTCTCTCTCTCGCTCTAAAATCACTTTGGTTTGTCCGCAAAATTAATTTCGAAATAAATTTTGTGGTACTAAATTTGTTTTTAAAAAGATTGCAACGTGGCCTAAAAACAATTTGTTATCATAAAGTAACTCAGAAAGTTAAAACGAGAGTTAGTTGCAGTTAACAATTGCGTTAATCAATGTGATTCTCTTTCGTTGATATCTGAATTCTTCAACACAATTTGTTCCCTTGGGAAACGTTGAGCGAAGTTTTAACTTTTTGCCTATTCTCAGTACAATTCCCTTGAATTTTGACACTTCCACTGTAAATTTCACAACGGAAACGGAAAGAGTTCGATAAATAAAGATCGCATTAAATCCCCTACTGTCTAGCTGGAAAGAGTCTTACTGACTTTAGCTTTCCGGTGGAAAAAAGACAGATTTTCACACACCATTGCAGAAAACAAGCAAGCACACTGACAACTCGAAAACAAACATTTGCATTCACTTAAAATTTGACTTTCCGTGCCATTTTAAAATAGAAATAATTTGGATATATCAACAAAGTCGAAATGGTAAATTGGCCACCGTAACAATTACAAAAGTTGACGTTTCGAGGGTTAGCCCTTCGTAGGAGCGAATAGAGGAATTGTCGGTTGTGTGTGCTTTTGAAGGCAGAAAATGGAGGTACGTTATTGGTGGGAACATGGCAACGAGAAAAACAGGAATAAATGTTTTTCTCGTTGCCATGTTCCCACCAATAACGTACCTCATTTTCTGCTTTTAAAAGCACGTACACACAACCCACAATTCCTCTATTCGCTCAGCTCGAAGGGCTAACGCTTGAAACGTCAGCTTTTGTAATCGTTACGGTGGCCAATTTACCATTTCAACTTTGTTGATATATCCAAATTATTTCGTTACCCCCACCGACGCAGCCCCAAACAGTTTCTTTATAAACTATCAGCCTTTATTTATTTTAAAATAGAACAGAGGTAAATCTTCGAAGATTAATCGTCGTTGGAAATAAACAATACTTCCCGTAAGATATATATATATATATTCTTTTTGTACGAGAAGATCGTCACATGGTTATTTAACTCGCCTGTGTTTATCATACCAATAAATATATCTTATTAACCAAGCGCGAGGGCCGTACTGGGAGAATATCGGCCTGAGGACTTGACAGTACGGACCGAGCGTAGCGATGTCAGGTACAAAAAAGACCGAGTGCTGATATTCTTCCATTACGGTCCCGAGCAAGCTTGGTTAATAGTAAGATTAAGCACCGCGAAAACTGCGAAC